AAACTACACTACTTCTAATGCTCTGTATACACGTTACAATTAGCTAGAATTATAACTAATTAGCTTTTTTAAAAAGGTAGGTTCTTTTAGCTTTTAATAAGCTAAAAAACTAGATTATATAATTTTATAAAAACTATTATACTATACTATACTATAAAAACTACGTTTATAGTTTTTTAAGTTCTAGGCTTATAAGAGCGTATAAGAACCTACTTTTTATATTAGCTTATAGTATAAAATTTATATTATTTACCGGTAAAACTTATAATCTTATAAGTATTTTATTAGATTTAATATTATTTATTATATGAAAAACTATAAAAACTATAAAACTACAAAACTACACTACTTTTATAGCTCTGAGCAGGCCTGTCATGGAATAAATAGCGACGAGGTTAGCTTATTAGTGGTAAGACGGTTATCTGTAGGGCTTGGGGTGTCAGGTTTTAAACGAACCCAGTTAACTACCTAGGTACTTAAGTAGGTACTGTTTAGTGTCGTGGCCCTTTAGAGACTTCCCTCCGGGCGAGATAAAATCCATCCATCCATCCGCGGTGGCGTGTGGCGGTGCAACCTGGCAGGGGAGACTTTGTCTCCCCGCCCGCAAGAACACACAGAGAAGATACAAGCATCAATAAATACAATCATCAATTTTAACCTCAAAACTAACCTAACCCCGGTAGTAATTCAAGTGGGGCATTGTGAAATCTAACAAGGTGTTACACCAAAAAATGGCGTGGCCACGCCACATGTAATAGTATGTATCCTTTGCGACACAAGGTAAGCCCCCCCTCCCAATAAAACCCACTTTCCTCCTCCCCAGGCGAAGCTCCATAGGCTGCAGGGTCGACTTCTGGAGGTTCGATAGGCAGAATAACAATGCTCACTTGGTGGCGCTCATCCTTAACATACCGCCCGTTTGAGTCTGTTCTCCTGCGGGTCGTATGGTTCATTCGCTTCCTCTCGCGCCATATCATTGATCCAGCGCTCGTTTGGCCTGATGCTCTTACCCTCGGACATTTTGGCCCCCAGATACAGCCATGACAGGGCGTTGCCTACCGTGCTCACTTCATCGCTGACGCTCATTGCCGCATACGCACTCATGCGATCATACAGCTCTACGTCAGTCCAGAGGTCAAACAGGTGTCTAGCCACGGCCTTTGTGTCGCCGATATCAACGAGGAACCCGTTCTGGCCGTGCTGGACCTGTAGCGGGATGCCACCGGCTAGAGTTGCAATCACGGGCTTCCCCTTGTGTAGAGCCTCAGACACCTTGATCTCGAATCCTTCGCGGGTCGAGAGCTGCAGGGCGATTTTCGCCTTGGACAGAAGTGCGTTGAGCATCTGGTCAGTGGGACCGATGCGCATAATGCAAATAAGTGATTTGATGTGTGCGAGACGCTGCTCCACGTACTCAAGGGCGATATCATAGACCATGGAACCATCAGGATCATCTACCGACCCATGGCCGCAGATGATTAGCTTCGGAGGGTCCAAGTCTGGGCGAGACTCCGAGAGTAGGTTGTAGAACACGTTGTAGGATTCAAGTACGTCGCAGATCCCCTTGGAAGGGTCGAACCGAGATATCTGGATAATGTAGTCCTCTGGGACACGTCAGCAGTCGTGAGAGATGCAGAGGGAAGACATGCATCATCCTGACCTTTTGGAACTGCAATGGTAGGCATATACTGCTCTCGGCATTTGGAGTTGAAGATACGCCCATAGTAGCTGATATTCCAATCGCTCATGCCTTTGTTCAATCCGTCTAGCCTATAGTTGATGAGCTTAAAACATACATAGGCCTAGGGAGCATCCTACCAATCTGTTGATGCAGGTTGATATCCAACCTTTTCCAGAGGCACATTCTCTGGAACAAACGCACGGACGGGATGGCTGATAAAGAGATCCGCTTGTCTGATAGCCTCCCACAGGAATCCCCATGCCTCCGCCTGCGGAGTGCCAGGCGTGGCGACGAGATCGCTTCTGATCTGGATATGACTTCGGAAAATGACGGGTCTGTTCGGCGTCCGCTCCTTGATGAGAGGAATTAAAAAAGGCAGCTGCGGGTCGTCAATGACAATCACGTCGGCTCCGCCTTGGGACGGGGGAACCAGCGGGCCATTTTCCCCGAACCACGTTCCAGCGGGCGGGCCATGTTTCGCGAACCATTCGGGAATCGGCGGGCCTTTTTTCCGGAACCAATACCGCTCCGCATTCTCTTGGACCCAATCGCGAACGACATCTCTGTCTTCCGCGGTAAATCGCGTGCCGGGGGGTGCTACTCCTTGAAGAATATTGTGATTGTCCTTGGTTATCCGAAAGACGGCAGGTCTGGGCTTCGGAACATACCTAGCTATCCATGAGCGCGGAATAAAGAGATGGGAGCTTGCTACTGCATCTGAGCCTAGTAAGTCTTACCACTTGAAATTGGTCCCCAATGCATTCGAGAAGCGGATCAAGGCATGGCGCATGAGGGCAACGCCGCCGCCCTGCGGAGTTGCACTGAAAAAGGCTACCTTCACTCTGCGTTTTTTCAGGTCATTGGCAAACTTGTGGATTGCAGACCACGTCCGCCGCCCAACAGTGTTCTCGTAGTCCGAGAGACTCGTTAGTCTCACATGGAACTTGGCGTCTACTTCCACGTGGCCTTGGAGACCGACTTGCGGAATAGGAGCTTGGCTGGGGCCAAAAAACCTAGCAAATTGTGAACAAAGTTGTATGGCGGCTGAAGGGAGGTACTTACCCTACACACTTCCTCGCAATCGACTCAGCCTGGTCGTCCAGGGAAGCATACGTCCAGTTCTCGTCGAAAAGCCCCCAATTGACTTTCTCTTCTGACTTGCTCAATACAATAGGAAGTATATCAAGCTCGGCCCAGAGGCGAGAACAGAGCTCGGGACATCGATTAACCAGCTCGGTCGATAGCGCTACGCCGATAAACTTTTCGCCATGCTCTTGCTGATACTCCCTTGCCTTTCCAACTACGGAGTCGGGGAACTGGAGCCAATCGCTGGTATCAAACTTCTTCTGTGTGAAATCCAGTAGGTATGTGCTGTCACGGATGGCGAAGGCGACGGTTGCCTCATTGAAAGGGGGAAATTTGGCGGCGATGCCAAGAAAGGTAGCCTGCCAAGGGGTCAGAAAGGGGATTACATTCATTTGAAGATACCGGTTCTTTCTACAGCAGAGACACATTATGGGGTGAACAACTTACCTCGAAGGGCGGCCCTGTCCAGTCGTTATTCTGAAACCGTGTCTTCAGGCGGCGCATCTGGTACACAGACGGCCGCCTGCGGAATTCATCTTTATCGATAGAACACTCGACAGCCACCTGGCCGTCCTCTGTATAGTCTCGAGAGCTCATCGTGAATCAAGAGGTGGAATTCGAGTCGGGGGACGGCAGTGCACAGTCCACGGGAGATAGTGTGAAAGTGTAGTCCACAAATGAGCCGACATAAATAGATATTCGAAACGGAAGGAGAAATTATGAGGACAAGATTCGGGAAACATAGCTTGGATCTCCTGATAGCGCCACATTCATGACCGTCACCACAGGCTAGCTACATAGCTGTCGGGAGCAGAAGTGGTACGTACCCAGAGTACAGGTGATTAGTTCAGAGATGTCGGCCCCTCGTCCCTTGTATCGTCAGACAAAATCTATTCGAGAGGCGGCGTTCTCGATCCAAACTATTAAAGTGTATGCGTAAGATGCAGCACCAAAATATAAAGTTAAGCGCCGCCGGTGAGTGCTTACCGTGAATAGGGAATTATCAGGTCCCCTCCACACTTTCAGCCGCATGAGCCAATACGATATGTGGCCGATGGATAAGGTGGGCGAACGATAAGCCCCTACCGAGGCCCCCGGACTCCCGGAGGCTAGTCAAGAAATGCGGCTTGTCTGGCAGACGTCACTTCAGCCAGACTTAAGCCACATGCACCTAGTGGCGATGAGACATGTGAAAGTGGCGTGGCATTTGATCACTCGAAAGTGGCAAATCTTGTGTCGCAGTTTACAGTTTGTTTTACCTGTAGTGTTAATAACTACCGGATAAGTGCACATGGAGGCGTGAAGCGAGCTGGATGTCTCACATGTCCATAAGAGGAACCGACAGAACATGATTATGCTTAATACACTTAAGCAATTGCTTACACACCTACTCTTTTTATCGTGACGCTATATCTAGGCTTATTAAAACTAGAGTAATAGAGTGCCCTAATAAAACCGTTCGCGGTACTCGTATAGATAGTACTATTACCTAATATATATGTAAAGCTATAATAAGAAAACTATATCTTTATTTTTTAAAAAAGCTTAAATATTTAACAATAAATCTA